GTATTCAAAAATACATTAAGTCTCGGAAAAAAAACTGTTCGAACAGGTTTTTTTCCGAGATTTAATGTATTTTTGAATACTCCGAATTTCCTTAGAAATGATTCTGGAATTCTTTTAACAAATGCATTTTGTAGAGTAAACATTTTTCTACAAAATTAGATGTTTTAGTGATTTATAGCAATTCTCCCATATGTCCCAACACCAGTTAAAAGCTGGTGCATGCCTACTTACATGTATATATATAAAGAAGAATGTTTGTCTGTTCTTTATGCATTTGATTCCTGTAAGAGCTAGTGTCACCAAACTTTCCATGGCATACCCTTAGGTCCAGAGGAAGGTCGAGATGGGGTCGATGAGGGTGAGGGTGAACGTGGGGGTGTGGGTGAACGCGGATGAGGGTGAGAAACTACTTGCTTTTCTCATGGCTAACTTTACGTGGCGTGTTCAAGAGTCACACAGTCATTTTCTAATAAAAGAAGCCGATCAAATAAAAAGAACATCGAAAAGGATAAAAATGGTTTTAAAAAGTTTAAAATGACGAAAAAAAGTTCAAAAGGGAAAGTGATCCGAGCGCATTTTGCGTACCTCAGCTAGTTGGTCGATAAACAAGAGTCAAATCTTTCTATCTGTTCAACATCCCTTTGTTTCGCTCAAAAACATCTTAACTATGTTCTTTAATTGTTGATAACGGTGTGTGAGTTGATCATAGTTATTACCTTAGGCGATTTACTATGAAACAATAATTTTTTATAATAATCATTGTATTGTAGTTTGACCGTTTTCTTTGTCGCCTTCAACAATGGCATTTTATATTTATTTCCAATTTCTTCGTTTCAATTCACAATGATTACACACAATTTATTTCGATCTATTGAACAATAAAAATTAAATAAATTTCTTTTTTTCAAACTAGACAATAGAATTTTTCTTTTTATTCATTTTTTCATCGTATTCAATTAACTTGTTAAACCAATTTTCTTCTACGAATTTTTAATTGGTTACTATTCTTTGTTACTACTCTTAAAATTAATTTGTTACTATACGTATTAAGTAGGTTGTTTTTTATTTGAATATATTTTAAAATGTATATTATTAATCTATTGGCAAAATTAGTGAGTTTATTAATAGTGGAAGCAAAAAGAATTATTTAAGTAGAAAATAAAAATATGAAATGATCTAGAATAAGAAAAAAAGTTTTACCTTGAAAATAATATAAATTTATTGAAAAGAGGTAAGAGGGAAAAGAGCGTAAAAACACTGAAAAATCAATAGAAAGTGGAAAAAATGCAGAAAAAAAAAGATTAATTCTATGCTACATAAAATTTGCACACAATAAATATCTAGAAAACTGATAGAAAGATTGGTAGTGGTCTTATATCATTACCAGATACTAGAACGCAGCAATATTAAGACGTAAGTTCCTTTTTTTGACTATCTGATCGAAACTTTTGTCATTGCAGAAGAGAATTTTCTCAGTTTAGTTTACGAATGTCGTAGAGGATTCGTAATTAATTTAAATTTTGCATGTGGAGATAAATAGAACTAAATAATCAGTCATTAAAAATGAAACCTTGTCAAAGCAGTTCCTATCGGGGCTAAATTGTGAAACTCCTATACCGTTCATTTAATAGTTTAACTGAACATATCTCATATAAAAAATAAATTAATCTGTATTTTTCGGTGTGATGATTCAACTCTGATTTATTTTGAAACCTTGATTGTTCTGCTGCTAATAACATTTTCGTTTAGTTATAATTTAAGATGAATACTATAGTGCCATGTATTACTGGGAGGATGATTAAAAAAACACTGAAAATCACAGAATTTTCAGTATGTAACCTCAACTCCTCTCTACTATGGGGTTATGGAAAGGAGTTTCACAAAAAAGTTTCGAGAATAAGAGAAAAACGTCCGATAATGAGTAACGGTCTAGTAAGAGTGAAGGCATTATATAATTCAAAAGTAAGAGCTGTGTAGAAGTGTACACGTAGTTATCTAAACGAATTATCTAGATGGATGACTTACTAATTACTTGTAAATCCACTTTTTAAATCGTTTGTTCTTCCGCTGTTTGTTCATCAGCTGTCGAAAAGCTAAAAACTTCTAAGGGTATTAGTTTCGGCGTCTCAATATCGTTTTTATCCACACCTCATCACTCTAGTATCTCGTACCTTAAATTCAATACATCGTTTGATGTGAGCGAGTGTACGACCTGTCCGTAGGTAACGCAATCACGTATTTTCGACTTTCAAAGCCTGCTTCTCGTAAACGACAAAGAGTGAAAACTTGAAATTTAGCGTGTAGATGTATGATACGGAGGACTCATACTCCTATAAATATCAACTTGTTTGGATTTTTGATTCGGCTTCTGTAAGCAAAATACATGTCGATAACGCAGTCACCAAAAACGCCCTTCTGTTCTCACGAATTTGAAAGATATTAAAATTTCTGCGAATTGTTTCATGATGAAATGTTTAGTTAATATATATTTATTAATACATATTAATATATATTAATATATATAAATACGAAGGAAAAAAGTTCAAAAAACCTCTCAACTAAATCGTATACTAATTTGTAGATAAGACTTCAGGCTATCTAATTCAAAAAAACAAAGTCCAAAAGATTGAGTCCTGCAAGAAATATCATCAGAACATCATGATAACGCAATCACGCATTTTCTTTAACCTTTTTAAAATTAAATTTTTGAGCTCAAATTCGACCCTCTTTTATGCTTTCAGCTCTCTCAAAGATATATAAAGGTGTAATTTTATTTTTCGCTTCGCAATCATAGTAAAAAACAAGAGATTCTTTGGTTAGAGAACTTTTTATTAATATTTATTTTCATTAAAAAAAACAGTCCATTTAGCGGTTGCGACAGAGACTTAGTTCACACGCCGTTAGATAGACGATTAAAAACTGAACAAACGTAAAGGTTTGACATAGAAGTTGAGTTCTGTTGAAGAAAATTGAGAATTCCGAGCAGAATTTCGCCTTTTCCCCTCTGATTTAGAAAAAACCCATAGAAAACCAAGATCACGTGATACAGGAACGTTGTCAAACCTCTACGTTTGTTCAGTTTTTAATTGTCTATCTAATGGCGTTTGAACCAAGTCTCGGTCAGTTACCTAAGCCGAGATAATTTAATTTTACAAAAGGAAATTTTTAAAGTTTCAAATTTAATTTAAAAATTAAAATTTTGAGCTGGAGGCTTATTTTTTGTTTTAAACGTTTATCATTCAACGCTGAATCCGAATATGTTATTAAAAATGTTTCGTCATCGTCCACTCTTTTTAAAAACGATTTTTACTTGGCTCAGGTAGCCTCAAAACCACGGTTTTCTAGAAACCCTACTTCAAAGAATTTTGGGCAAAACTTTCCGCTTAACAAATGAAAGAGTACATCGAGAAATGCTTATAAACCAAACGACAGCTCAATATAATTGGGCGTTTCGAAGATAGTTTTCTCATGCAACACGCCTATTTCTCCTCAGGTGATTGAGTTACCATTTTTTAAAACAGAAAAACTGGATGAGAAAGAACAAAAGCGTACATCAAATAGCGTGTCGAAAGTTATTGATAGATCAGTAACGAAGTGATGAAAATTTCTTCTATTATATTCGCAAAAAAAACTAAAAGCGCTTTTTGGTAACGCAAACACGTCACATTTGAGGAGGTTTTGATAAAACTGTTTTAACTAAACAATAAGATCTGGGAGGTAAATAAGTTGGCCAAAATAAAGTCTAACTTCTGTAGATTTGTTTCATATGAAATATTTGTAAACAAAGCCTTTCTTTCGTTCTGTACATGCATTTTTGTTTACCGACAACATATGCTCATATAATTAGAATTCATGAACGACTGTGGTTGGGCTTTATTTTTACTTGTTCTATCCATAATACAATGAAACAAATTATACTTCCTTCTGTAAGAGAAAGTGCTCTACAACATGGCGCTATTAGTTTTTAGAAATATTCAACTCCTAGTTTCATTATATCGATTGACCGTTAGCTGGACAGGCCGTGTGGCTAATTTTAGATACATTTGAATAATGACAGACTCTAATACAATTGTATCAGCCAACGATAAAACACCAGTTAGAACCGTATCTTTGATTAAATCACTCTCAAGAGATCTTCGTTCGCTTGATTTACACAATGATCATCCAATATTATTGGTTTATGCACGTGAAATGAAATTATTAGCCACAGAGATATGTATGTTTTCAAATCAGCTGATTAAATTAGGTGAAATTGAATGGAATTTATTTCCTGATACATGGCCAAATCTATTTATTAAACATAGTGAAGTAATACGTAATAGTCATGTAATATATTTGGCATCATTACATAATCCATCGACCATATTTGAACAAATATCATTACTCTATCATTTACCAAAATATCAATGTATTAGTTTAAAAGTATTATTGCCCTATTTTCCAACAGGTACAATTGATTATTTTTTAGAATGATATGTATTTGTTTGTTTGTTTGTTTATCTAGGTACAATGGAACGTATTCAAATTCAAGGTGAAATAGCGACAGCATATTCATTAGCTGTTATGTTAAGTGCAGTACCATTAACACGAACAGGTCCCACTGAAATTGTTACACTTGATATTCATGCATTACAAAATCAATTTTATTTTTCATCAAATGTTGTTGTTCGTCTAGAATCAACAATTTGTTTACTTTTAAATGAATTAGATAAAGAACAACAAAATAATCCACATGGAGATAAATATGCTATTGCATTTCCAGACGATGGTGCACATAAAAGATATTCACATATGTTCAATTCATGTAGGTAAAATAGTAACAATATTTAAGAAAAATTTGTTTATTTGTTTATCATACTTTTCTTTTATGATTCTAGGTGATGAGAAGAAATATGAAGAAATTATTTGTAGTAAAATTCGTCAAGATGATAAACGTATAACAACATTGCAAGAAGGTAATCCTCAAGGATATCATGTAATTATTATCGATGATCTTGTACAATCGGGTGGAACATTGTTAGAATGTGCAAAAACATTGAAAGAAAAAGGGGCTATAAAAGTGAGTGCCTATGTAACACATGGTATATTTCCAAATGAAAGTTGGAAAAAATTCTTACACAATAATAATAATACTATAGAGAAAAACGATGTGAAACTTGATACATTTTGGGTAACAAATACATATCCAAATACTGAAATTCTTGTTGATAAACCACCATTTAAAGTATTATCAATCGCAAAATTATTGTGTAACATTTGTTTTAATTAAAAAAAAAAAATACAAATACATTTTATTCACAAAAACAAGATAATTATTTCCGCATATATAGTGATATAGTTGTTGTATGTCTTAAAGAATAGAATCTCTTTTTGTTTTTTATCTATTTTGTATTGTGTTCTTTTGTATTTGTGTTCAACTCAAAACATTATAAAAAGAATTACATAGACTATTTAACTGAAACACAGTAGATCAGTTAAACAAAGTCTTAGATATTTTTGTTTTCGATAATTATTGCTATAATAGACATAGTATATTAGATAAAAATTATTTTCATTTGTTCGATAACTATTGTTTATCGATTTCTTTTCTAAATAATTTACATTTATTATTGGAACTATTTTAAAAATATTTCTTTTTAGTATTTATTGTCGTCTTTTATCGTTTACAACTCGTTATGGATTGTAAAAATGATATGAATAATAAATATCTAAGATCTTCTTGTAAGACTACTTTCATTATGTCTTGATGTTGTGTTATTGTTCTTTTTTTATCGTGATCCATTTCATATACAAATGAACTCGTTGCGTTCAAAAGATAAACATCAAACAATTTCGTATTGAAAGGTTTAGAATATTTCATATGTGAAAGAAGAATGCTCACACCTTACTTATATATGGAAGTAATTTGGTAAAATAACAACAACAACAACAGCTGTCTTTAACAATCGATTTTATCCAAACTTTGATTGAAAAAACATTCGATACGATTGAATTGAATTGAATTGAGTTGAATGATACTTGAAAATAAAATTTATTAGTATTGAGTCTTTTAATAAAATTTCTGATGAAAAAATAAACA